GGGGGAGAGAGAGAGAGAGAGAGAGAGAGAGGGGGGGAGACAAAGATCCACTGTGGCTTATCTGCTCAATCCATCTCAATTATTTTTCCATCTCGTCGGTCTCCACTTCACCCTCTGTTTATGCACTGAAAGTTCAGGTTAGAGGCTTTTACAGATAATATAATTTTATGGCAGATTTTTATGTTGCATCGTACGATGGCGACCAGGGGATGATGACGTGGAATATGGTCGTCTGGTGGTTGGAGCTGTTTTTCATGTTGAAGGATGTGTTGTGTTACAGTCTGACTTTGACATGAATTTAACTTTGACATTTTGTAGTGAAGAATACAGTAACACCACGGTGTGTAGTACAGGGAGTGTAGAAAAAGTCTTTTTTTTTTTTCATTTTCTTTTACTACTTCAATGCTACTACAGTACTAAGCTATTCAAATACCAAATTGTTGTTTTTTGGTTTAAATAAAAAAAATTGTATATTGTAAAAAATATTTTAAAATACTTTAATCAACTTTACAAACACTCCTGTTGCATCTACGTGAACTCCTTAAATCAGCAGTCCCAAACCATTTTCGTACCAAGGACCAGTCGGTCGATATCACCCGTTACTGTGGACAGGTAATACCCCGCCATCGTTCAAGGGTCATTAACTTTTCCAAATCAAACCTCTTTCAGACTTTCTTCTGTCAGTGTCAGAGTCTGAATGACCTTTGACCTGTTGTTTTGAAACATTGACAGATTATCTTTGAATGAAAACAGTAAAGGGATATGACTGGATTATTTTTGGAATGAAGTAAACCAGTAAAACTGAAGTACATTTTTTCTGCCGACTGGTACCAAATGACCTACGGACCGGCGCTGGTCCTCGAACCAGAGGTTGGGGACCGCAGCGCTAAGGGTTCTGTACCCCACGTTGAGGACATTCATAATGTAAACAATTAAAAACCCCTCGTCATTTTCAATTCTTCTGCTGACCCTCAGAGTCCACTTTAACCCTCCGCTCGCGGCGCAGCTCGGCAGCATCGTGTCGACTGCGGTTGTTTAGTCTGCTGCAGATGCGAGCCGTGTGCTGTTTGTTTAATTTCTGCACGCTACATTGATCTGTTTTGTTTGCGTTTTCCTATATGTGGGCCCCGTATCGCGCTCTGGTATCAGACGTGTTTGCTCTGCAGCCTGAGTGTTTATTATATACCAGCTTTGTTCACTGTGGTGACACACAATGCAGTGTCTTGTAGATTTTTCCTGTCGCTATTTAGTCTCTCTGTGTGTGTGTGTGTGTTAGTGTAAATTACACACAGAGATGTCTCACTCTCTGAGAGAGTGCCACTGTCAGCACTACGGTCCCTATTTATAGAAACATTTGCATTTTCTTGCTGAGCATGTGTGTGGAGGACTAACATATTGACTTAGCCTGGAGAAGACGCGGAGGGAAACAGAGAGAGGGATTATATCAGGCTGGCTTCAGCCGTACAACAGTCGGCATGAAAAGCGAGCGGGCAGATTGGATGGATACGTCGAAGTGATAGTCAGAGGCTCAGTCTACAGGAACCTGTTAAAGCTGACGTGATGTGAAAAGGCCTTTCAGGCACAACTGTGGATCCGTAATCGGCAGATGTTCCCGCCGCTGATGGGAAAACGCTCCTTTACTCCCAGCCTCCTGCACCACAGAGTGCACTGCGCTGGTTAATTGAGTTATATTTGCATCATGAACAGGAACAAAGATGAACTTCTATGCTGCATCTTAATTAATAATCCTGTTAAAATATCTAAGAGCAAACTGCTCCTCCTGTGATACTCCGGACTTTAATGAGGAACCGTCCAAATGAAATGTACTTTAACAAATTCATTCGGTGCATAATAAATGCTTCTGTGTGCTTTCTAATGCAATTGGATGTAAGCTGGCAGCGATTTGAGGCATTTGAAGTCGGATGACGTACAGTGAGAGGAAAAATAGCCCAGAAATACAGAAAGTCTGTCCAAGATATGAAACAATGTGGAGTTTTGAGGTTTTAATGAACTTTTAAATAATGAAAACTAAGAGAAATAATAACCTTTATCAGCAGGTGTTTCCCTGCTCTCTTATCAGAGCAGACGGTAGCGCAAGCAAAAAATCCTAAATTAGTCACCCTAAATTTAGCGGAAGGTAAAAGTGCAACAAAAGGAATTTTAAATCAGCAAATTAATTTGAAAATGTTCTAAAATATTCTCAAAACACAGCTCACCTGGTGAAAAATTAGAGCAGAATAAAAATATATAAACTATTAGTGCCCTATTTGTCCCATGTGATTCCTGAGGGTCTCGAACCCATGACCTTGACCCAGGACCTAGGAAGATGATAGGCAGCTGACAAAAGTTTAAAACACCAGACTTAGTTAAAGTTAGTTTTCTTTTTTGAAGGTTTGGAACTCATTTAAAACCAATAGTCTCTGCTTCTGGACTCTTCTACACCATCTCTCTCAGGGCAGTTTTTTTTGTTCTCTACATTTACTTGACATTACATAACCTTTGTGTTTCCATAGAGTTGTTCTCACTAACGCTCACACACAGGCTGAGTGTGGTGAGTGTGCGGAAACAGTCGGAGAACAAACGGGTTCCTCACAGCTGTGTAGCAAGAATGTAGCAGCGCGACATTTTAGCACGGTTTTTATCCGTTTACAAAGCCAATAATGGCTGACTCTACCTGTAATTATCACTGTCCTCTCAGAGAACCACTGTTTTAACACACTCCATAATAATCTTTGCCTACTTCATTAGATTTTATAGCTATCGATTACGTTAGATTGCTGCTGTTTCCAGGCTAAAGATTTTCCTCTTATTCTTCCATACTTTTCATCCACGTGCGCCGCTCACCGCTAATGACTGTGTCTCAGTCTTTAGGTGTAAATGTTGTAACAAGTGAACAAATTATTAGTTAAACTGAGAAGCCGGGAAAAGTAATGTCGCTGATCTGGAGCCACATAGTGATTGAGCCAAACAGCTCTTGCCTTACAGCTCAAAGGTCACATGTCCGATTCCCATATGGTGATTGGTACATGTTTGGCCATTGTAGGAGGTTAGCAAATACAGAGATACGAGCTTCCCGGAATACAAGTATTGCATGTTATGAATCTGCAACTATTGCAAGGTTTTGCTCGTGATACGAGGAAATATCTAGATGCGAGTGCTCAACGGAGGATTGGCATCTGTTCAGTCGTATGGCTTATTTTGGCTGGAACGAATTAATTGGTTTTTAATTATTTTTAATGGGGAAAATTCGATCGAGATACAAGTGCTGTTGTGGGATGGATTAAACTGGTATCTTGGGGCTCCACTGTACCCCTAGAGTTTGGGAACTGTCAAGGATTCACTCTGATTTCGCTGGAAGTTTGTGAATGGTTCTGGTTTCCCCTAAACATGAACCCATAAAGGATTAGGCAGAAGAAGATGAACGAGAGAAGCTGCTCAGACTTTATGTCACCACTGAATTGACTAACTGTGAGTGTGTAAGGACTCAAGAGAAGCTCCACTCTGTCTACAAGTTACACACACGCTGCAGTTAATATGTAATAACATATAAAGGACTAATTTTTGATTTTTGATTAAACCTTTCGAGTCTTCTTTTTTTTAACCGTTCCTTTTAGGAGCTGGAAGTAGCACTCCAGCTCGTGAGAAGGATTTTTCATTAAACACGAAGCTGGATTTCCTTTAAATTGGGAGCAGGAAATGTCACACTGGGAGTTTCTGTGTTTCACCAAGTGTTAAAAAGCCACACTACTTTGCATTCACTGCGGGAATGTTTTATGTGTTAGATTTCTCTCTTCTGACAGTTCTCGCTGTCATGTTGTCACACTTTTACCGTTTTTTTTTTTTTCTTTTCTCTCCTTTTAACCTGACGGTACATTTATATGCACCGAGGAGT